TCCACTAATCCCTTCCCACATCTGCTTGACGTTTCCCTCCAGGCCTCCGTTGGCCTTCTGCACTACTTCGTCCCAAATACACTTTTTCTTCTTTCTCACTAGTCCCTTCACCTGTTTTCTCTTGGCCCTGTACTTTTCCCAACTCTCCTCAGACGCCTCACTCAGGTACTGCTTGAAGACTTTTCTACGTTCCCCTATTTCTTCTTTCAGCTCGTCATCCCACCACTTAACCGCTACCCCACATCGTACCACCTTCGTTCCCACTACTCTCTCTACACCGGGGGGGGCGGCATGTTTTACAACGTAGTTGCCAAGCGACGAAAACCCAACCCCGATGGCAAACACCGGGGGGTTCAATGATGGGAGAAAAAAAACAAAACATTGTTTGACCGAGCAGCAGCAGCGGCACTACGGACCACCCTCGTCTAACGGGTGCTCGGTGCTTATCAGAGGTCGTTTTCGAATACGGGAGATAGTCCGTGAACACTGAACACTCAACACATGTTGGCGGTGCGGTACAAGCGTTTAGTCTAATCGTTTTGCTGCTGCCCCCGATGCCCCTCAGAACCTCCACCTGTATCTTAGACTAACTTGGTTGTGCTCGTGTCCCCGCCGTTATTAACTCTTGCCACTACTGCTGCTGCAGGATTTCAAGGGGCAAATGCTGGCAGAGAACCTCTACTTTTACATCATTATTTTACTGGGGGTGAGTGAGATAGAGTTTTTTGAGAGCAAGTAGGCGGGTCCACGATGAGACTCGTCTCCACCGCTGCTTACCAATAATCCTGTGTGCGGCATTAACGAAGTGATGGTCACTTGACGCACATATTTTGCTATGTTGGTGAGAGTCGAGGGAAGTAGGATCGACAAGTCTTTTTTGCATGGAGTGCCTGTTACGGTACCCGCGGAAACACGTGTCTATGAGTGTCGTTCTTTCTTGTTTCGTCCACGATGGCTGATCGAGGGGTTCAGGAGCCGGGCGGGGCAAGAGAGCTCCGTATGTCAGTAACAGGAAGCGACAACGGCGGCTCCCGCCGACACGTGTCGTCTTATCTTATCCTCATCGAAATCGCTGGCTATTTGCATGAGACGCATGCATGGCGGCGATACCTCGCTCTCAACCGAGGCTGTCGATTTGATGCCTTTCTTGGCGTTCTGTGGCTGCTTTGGTCCTGTTCGATTTGCTCACAGCAGAAACATTTGCTCCCCTTCGTATTGGTGTAGGCATTACCTTTCCGGACGTTTAAGGCCCCGCATCGCGACAAATCAGCCATCGAGCATTTAAAATACAGGTGCTCTCTCTGACGCTATGAATTCATTGCCAACCTATCTCAGACTCCTTTCCTAGATAGAGATGGATTCGTTGGGTGATATTTAGTAAATGTATAAAATAAAGGGTACTCAGTGGGCTTCCCCCAATGCACTCCTCGCCATCGCTGCATTATGTACCCCTTCGTCCCTCACTCACCATGACCCGCTTATCTGCACCGTGGGACTGGTTCGTCTTTGTGTCTTGCCTTGTCAGGCTGTGGGGTGGGTCGTCGGCTTCGTCATGGGAGATTTCATGTTCACGCTCGCGGGATGGGGGGCCGGGATGGCGCTGTCTATGATTGTGAGTTAATCCACACACCAACGGCACGTGGTCGCGTGCGCGTTGGGCAGCCTCTCAAAAATCGTCCACCAAAATTTCTCGGCGACATGGGTCGGTCGAGACCCTCCAGTCTGAAAAGTTGGGATTTAGTTGCTGGTGCCGATGGGGCTGTTGTCCACTCTTGGTTCGGTTGTCATTGCCTGCTGTAGTCTGAGCACCGTTGGGTTTCTGCAAAAGGAGGATGACAAACTGCACTCTGCTCGGCTCAGGCTGTTACGTGTTATTTGGTGGAATAGCTGTTTCGGATAGCGAAGAGTTCGGGCGCTCGATTGAACGGGGCGCTAGTTGACTGCACTCACTGAAAAGACTTCACCACATCCCGTTCGACTGTGGGTATATCTCGAACGGGTAGTCTTTCTGTGGGTGTCTCTATTTTTCCTAATATTTGTTGTTGTCTACTGTAAATCTAAGAGGAAACATCGAACACGACGTGCCGACTCAGCGAGTCCCGATCTCAGAACGATGTTCGAGTAGAGAGCGTCATGGACCCGCGACGTTCTCGTCACTCTCGTTACCCTCAACTGATGTACTGTAACACCTAAGATTACGACTGTCAAACACGTCTTTTTTTCGTCACTCTCTTATGAGCTTTGGACTTTCTTGTCTTTTGGTTTGAGAAAGTTGTGTAAGGAGGTAGACTGCGTGGTGTTTTGGCGGAATGTCCCAACTGGTGTTGTATGTCACTTTCCGTTATTTTCGATTTTTGCTCATAGTGAAGATTGACTATCGCCTTGTTTACCACGACGCTTCGCACCGACGTCACTTGAGCACGTTGTTGTGTCTTGCTCGGCACTTGAGGGACCGAACCCAACAATCCTTAACCGCTCCTGTTCGCACGCAGTGAGTACCTTTTTGAATCCCTGTTTGAGGGTGTGTTGGATGTTGGAGCCACGCAGCACTGCTGATTTTCTTCCTGCAGAAGGTGTGCACAACAGTTTTAGGGTGCTCTCCCCATGCCGTGCTTGCTTCCCGTGTCTTTGTTGCCACTTGCTCTATTCGGCTCGGGATTTGTGACCTGTCCCACCTTTATGTTGGCTCACCCAACACATTCCCTCCTGTTTGTATCTGTGTCGCCTGTCTTCCGTGCTGCTATCGTCTCTCTTCGATCAGCTTGTGGTGCCAGACTGGCCGATGTTCAACCGTAACCCAACCAAGTGGTTGGACCGGTTGCCTCCGAGGGAAGGGGTCATGCCCGTAGGAGCAGCAGCAGAGGACGAGGAGTAAAATTGATTGCGTTGTATTTGAGTGACCAACTTCTGGACGTAGGCAGCTCGGAAGCGGGATTTTCAGAAGTGGAGACTGCGGGCGGCGAGAGGGTGTATGCTGTTATGGAATGAACCGCAGGCGTGACGCTGTTTTTCTTTGCACGTGTAAACCATGCAGCAATCCGAGGAACGCCAAGGGTAAAAATTGGGGGCTCATTTCGTCGAATTTCCAAACAAGGCGGCCACAAATCGATCCTGGCTTTGCGTTCGTCTGCCCCCTCTTCCAGCATGGGGGGAGTGGTGGGCCGTCGGCATTGACGGGAAAAAGTCGAGGCAATACCAAGCGAGCATACCGCATTTTGCCTGTAACGGTTCCCGCAATTTTTGGTCTACGTATCGCCTGGCTTGGGCTTGGTGCGAACTGTCGACACTAGGCACGCTCTCTATGTGGTCGGCGGGGAGCAGACTCGAGCTGACTTCGGACGACGTGATTCGGAGGCGCGGGTTTGCTGTGCCGAAAGGACGAAATGACGGTGGGGGGGACGACTAGAGGCCCTGCCAACTTCCTCAAAATAGAAACGGCGGGGCATGGCCGTATTACCCTCTTACTTCCGTTGTATTGAATGGCCGAAACAGACACACGCGAAAAACCCGTGTACGTCCAACAATCCAAACAAAATGACTCCATCAATAAGCTTCCACCCCCGATGAGGCAGGTCCTTGGAGGCTTCAGTGATGCCCATTCGCGTGGTGGACTTCCCTCCGACGACCCTGCGTGCACAACTCTTTCCGGCAGTCGAGCTACGGCGACACCATGGCACTGGCTAAAAGTGGTTGCCAGATCTCCGATGTATGCATAGGCATACTTCCAGCGAGAGGCAAATGGTCACACAGCTTCCGTCGGCACGGAGCTGTGGTGAAACCCCGCCCCCACCGCCCCTCCCCCATTCTTCCCTCCGCCCACCCCCTTGATAATTCATCCCTTTCGCCATGTTGTCCGCCGTCGTGAGAATGCTCACTCCAAAACTACTTCAACCGCACAAAACCCGAGGAGAAGCACCTATTTCACGGACGAGAAACACGAGCCGAAGTAGTGTTGTCTACTCGATTTCCATAATGTTCGTCCCGAACGCCATGTGGTAAAGGCCGGTCAGGCAGTTGGCAAACCCCGTGAAGACGAGGAGTCCTCCGAGGGCAAAGGTGGCGGTGTCTCCCGCGCCGTTCTTGAGGTACGTGGGGTTTTCCGCGCCTGCTTTCCATACACCCAACGGCATAAAGACAGCGAAATGGTCGTACGTGTCGGGGCGCGGGGCGTGGGTCAATACAGGTGATCATGTATTTTCATCGTCGCCAGCTCTACACGGTACTGCTGTTGCCTTCTTCTGCTTGCTCCTTTGAACTCAGGAGTCACACGGCCCTTAGTGAAGCTCCGTGGCTACTTGCGACTGTCAATTTATGCAAGTCTACCGAGTGCACCCTCTCTCATGCACTCTTTAGCCCCCCTTGGACCGAAGCATGAACATAAAAACATAAAAAGCTCCTCCCCACAACTCGAGTGGTAACGTGCAAGTCGACAAGGCGTTAGCACCCGAAAATGTCGCCCCAGCAAGAACAGCAGTTGTGAAGACAATCTGAGCGCTCCAGGGACAACATTTCCCCCACTCTCAACAGGCTTCCCGTACTGCCTCCAAGTCAGGCGAGACAAGTGCCCCACCCTCCTCTACCCGGGGACGGGTCGTAGGTGACATCACGTAAGATATCACGCTCCCTGGACCGATTTTCAAAGCTCGGATTACTCCACGACGAAGAATATGTGTTCGTACATGTGTGATGCCACCTCAGACTGTCGTAGATTGTGACGTCAGATGACCTGTCGGAGATCTACCTTCGGGGTGTTGTCACAGATAGCGTCCAGTGTATGATGGACGCTGAACCTTGCTTCAACACAAGGTTGCTCCCCACCTGACACACAACACAACTATCCGTACCTTAGCCTCGCCACTAAAGGTTGAACCGGTGTGTATCCACACAACACATCCCAAGGGGACACTTGTCCGCACGTGAACCTAAGACATCAGTCTCATACAACAAACCATACTTTTTGGGAAAGTTCCAGACGAGACGGCTTCAACATCGCCGCTTCCGGCGCTAACTACTTGTACACTTTCTGCTGTGCTGTGGAGAACTCGAGCTTTGAAAATCGGCCCAGGGCGTGTGACATAATGTCACCTTTGGTGGACAACTCATCGACGCGGAAGCTACCCTATCATAAGGAAGGAAGCGGCGTTGCGAGAATGCGGGCAGTACACTGCGGTAGGCAACATGGCACGATTCAAAGTATCGCCGAAGGAACCATTTGAAGCAGCATTCCACCGCCTACGCAGATGCCCTGTAGGGCTATGCCTTGCTCCTCGATACGCATTCTCGACAATGCACACAAGACCGGGCGGGGGGGGAGGGAATAGGACGGGAAGCAGCAACATACACTAGCCTGGGCTCCCTTTGGTTTGCGGCCAGGGGTGGCCTGGATGCTGGTCCCCAGATAATTCAACGTTGTTTTTACCAACTACGAGGTAAAAAACAGCCATCGATTACCCCGGGATATGGTGTACAAGGAACGGCCCCGTTCTCCCTGTTCGCTTGGCATGGGAGGCCCGTCGACGCGAGAGGGGGGACGCCAAACCGAAAGAATGAGCAGCATAAGTGAACGGAAGCAAGGGGCATACTTTCCCATTCAAACGGCCATGGGCAATACGACGCTGTTACACGGATGATAGAGGCTGGTGATTCATCCACTCCAGGAGTACAAGTGTGGGGATGGTTCTGTGGGGAGAAAAAAATATGGGTCTTTTTGACGCAACATGCATGCGCCTTCAGGGTACGATACCCCGATAGCGAATATTTGTAGTATCACGGGGTCCCATCCTGGGCTTGTCCAAGGTCGGGGAAACACATGCAAGATGCCAGTAAAATAGCCAAATGACAAATCTTTGAACTTAAACATTGCTCAACGCGTTATACAGAAGACACCGCTCTACGAAATGTTTCCAACGCCTCAACTACCAGTGCCGAAAATCTGCTGGCATTGTAGAGGTACGAATGTACATGGACAGACGAGTGTGCGCGCTCCGGTACTTGTAACCTACCGTATGCACCATCGATCGACACCACGGGGGCGTGGTTCAGGTTTTCGTGGCATGTCACTGAAAATCACTTTCCCAGCATAACATGCAGATAAATGCACAAAACGGCTACCTCACTAGTTGTCTTGTTGACCCTGTTACCTACGAGGGATGTGTCGCTGTATGCTGCTCGGTAAATCATGGAAACACACGTAGCCTTTACTGACGCTCTGGATTCATTGCTAATCTGTCTTGGACTCTTTTCTTAGAGATGGATTCGTTGTGTCAGCGGGCAGGAGAGCGACTGGGTGTCTCGGCAAGGATAGGACCTCGTGGCCTTCAACATGGGAGACGAAAAGGAAGGGGGGAAATGGAAGAGAGCGCCAAGGACCCGGAGGTGTGGTACGAANTTCATTGCTAATCTGTCTTGGACTCTTTTCTTAGAGATGGATTCGTTGTGTCAGCGGGCAGGAGAGCGACTGGGTGTCTCGGCAAGGATAGGACCTCGTGGCCTTCAACATGGGAGACGAAAAGGAAGGGGGGAAATGGAAGAGAGCGCCAAGGACCCGGAGGTGTGGTACGAAAAGGTCGAGGACGGGGCGGCATGGCTCATGAGGAAATGACACAGGCAGGAGGCGGAAGCGTCCGCGAAGCGCCAGCGCGCGAGGGAAGCAGAAGCAGAGAGTACGGCCATCTCAGGACCGAAGAAAAAAAGAGTCGGGGAAGCGGCGCTGAGGGGGAAGAAACGGCGACTGTGCACTGCTTCAGAAGAGAGTAGGGCGGCCGAGGCAGCACTTGTGGCGAACTATGTGCCCGGATGATGTTGTTGCGCCCTGTTTCCCTCCCTGCTGAATGCTATCCTCCTTTGTGTATGTCCTTTGTATTACGTTCGGCCTCTGTGTTGTATATATATATTTCTTTTTTTCACGTCCTCCCTGCCTACTCTGCTGTGTTTGTTGGGTACCCTGATCTCGCTTTTGCTGTTGCTTTTGTTTTTTGTACATCTGGCTGTCTGCTCCATCTGCCATCTCTTTGTCCTGTTTGCTCCGTTACTCCCATGCCCTGGTGCGTAGTGCCTGGTGCTGGTACGTTACCCTCTGATTTTTTCGATAGGCGGGTGTGGGAAGCGTCCTCCTTTATTTTTGTTTTTGTTTACTTTTGATCGGTTTCCGCGGGCTCTTCTCTCGAACGGCCGGTGCGGTCCTGCTCTTTTCTTCCTACCATTTTGTTTTCCTTTTCCGAGTTGTTTGTTGTTGTTGTTTCTCACATTAGCTCTATAGTCCACAAAAAATGGGGAGCCCGTGGTCTCAAAACCCGGCACATACGACGCCGCGAGAAAAAAAAAAAAATGTGGGCACCACATGTCAGTATATAAGGCTTGGGGCACCTTCTCTGGTGTCGGGCAAACACCCTTTTCACAGTGGCGTCAGTGGCGGGATGTCATCCCGGCAATGTCAAAGTCCCGGGTTCGAATCCGGGCACGTGAAAATGGGTTTTTCGTCCGCCGCCAGCCGGTCGCGTTCCGGTTAGTATACAAACTACGGCCGGTGCGTCGTGGTACCCGCGTATTTGTCTACGATGCCGAGCTGTCCACTCGCTCGTATCCGGGGGGGTATGTGGGCACCACATGTCAGTATAAAAAGCTTGGGGCACCTTATCTCGTGTCGGGCAAACACCCTTTTAACAAAAAATAGGGTACAAACCACTCGGAAAAAGAAAACAAGATGATCGAAAGAAAAAGAACAGGTATCGCACCGACCGTTCGAGAAAAGAGCCCTCGGACACCGATCAAAATAAAACAAAACAAAATAACAGAAAAAAAAAGGCGGACGCTTCACACACCCGCCGAAAGAAAAAATCAAAGGGTAACGTACCAGCAAACAAAGGCAACAGCAAAGCGAGATCAAGGTACCCAACACAGCAGAGTAGGCAGGGAGGTCATGAAAAAAAGAAACACAGCACAGAGGCCGAAGGCAATAAAAATGACATAAATAAAGGAGTATAGCGTACTAGTGGTTTGTACCCTATTTTTGTTTTGTTTCCTCGCAGCAGCACCCGCGCCACGAGCAAGGGCACATAACCTCCACCTCCCATAGCAGTGGACACACCCCCGCACGCCGACACAACAGGAGACGCAGGGTGTACCCAGAAGCCGGAAAAGTCTTGAGATGTACAGCAGCACCCAGAGAAAATGCATTTGCAACTCACGGGTGTGCCGAGAGGTCGGTGGGGAGGGAGAAATGCGGGTGCCCATGGGTAAAAGAGCGGCCTACCAGAACGCACTCGGCCTGGCTGATGAAATCACCCTGCAAGACCCAAGAGTGTGGCTTGGTCATTTCCCAGCTGACGACGTGGAGGCTAGCAAGCAAGGTTCGGGGCCTTGTGGCACAAACGTCGTGGTGAAGCTAGTAGAAGGGGCCCTTCCGAGCCAAACGGACGAACAGATGTCTGCCGGTACCAAGGGGCAGCTGTTGTCGGCACTGCGGAGAAGCAACGCCATCAAGGAGCGCCGACAATCCCTGCTAGACGCAAGCATGACGGACGTAGAGAAAGATGTTAGGATAC